TATGATAGACATTAGAGAAACAAGTATGTTATTGTTTCAATGGTTCCTTACAATAGCCCAACGAGAAGGCAGGGCAGTCTTTAGCCCTCTCTAGAAGTCAGAAAGCCAAGACACGGGGAAAAAAGGGGTTTCAAGGACCTCGTTCAGTGTTCCTCAGCCATGTGACCTTAAGCAGTTACTCAAAACTCTGTCCCTCAAAATGGGAATAATAGCTTCTACCTCATAAGGTTCTTATTCCCGCCCCTTCGTCTCCTGCAAGCAGCTGTAATGAGACCAGGGAACAGGGCTTGCTCTACCAATTGCGTTTCTCAGTTCCTGATACCCACCCCGCTCTTCATAGTAAAATTGGATAAATGACAACCTCAAGTAGAAGACCATTAAAAATAACATGGAAACTTGCCTCAAGAGCATGTAACACACAGTATTGTAAATACGTGTGTTCACTGTGGGAATTCCATAGCAAGGAATCAATTTTCTAGAATAACCTGAGGTAAAAAGACTAAGTTTGTTTAAATCAAGTCATTGTCAAAAAGAGTATAAAAGCTACAATATCAAAAGGGCATTTTGAGGTGTCCGTATGAGCACAGCCATTCCTGTAGGAGGAACTTGGAGCTAGTCGAATGCGGTCCTTCCACTTGTAACTTTAAGTAACTTAAGCAGGGTTGAAACATACGAACTACCATGATCTTATGAGTAACAGTATTTACTAATGCTTTGAAGTTTCACTGTGTGAAAAACGTAGAATGCATTTATTGTAATCTTCGAATGTTTGCTATTATATGAAGTGATGCGAATGGAGGAGACGATGTGTGAGAGACAGTCTGTCAGTTCACTGCAGACGCGGATTTGGCATCCAGCCTCTGAGGTGCGAAACAGCAGCTATCAGTGCTGCAGCTGCTGGAAGCGTCTCTGTTTTGAGGCGTCTACAGGGGTCATGGGAGACGTCCACCCTCCCACTGCCCTTGTCTTCAGAGGTAGCCAGGTCTGGGTTGCTATAGTTATCAGGATATATTCCTGGAACGTCTGGGGCAGGAGACCGGGCTTTCTTAAAGCCATGCTTTTAAAATCGTGTGCCACCTCCCGAAGCTCAGATCCTCTCTCCTTGTCCCCCTCTCATCTCCTTCCCTGCAGTGTCCAGTCCTCTCTATCGGTTTTTCATTCAACATATATTTATTAAGCACTTAGTGTGTCCAGTATGCAGCCTCTTGCCACATGCAGCTATTGGACACTTGAAATGTGACTAGTGCAACTGGAAATTAATTTTTAAATTTTCTTTCGTTTTAATTAAATCACTACATATGACTGGTGGCTACTATATTGGATACTGTAGCTCTAAAATATAACAATCAATTAAGCAGAAGCCATTTTCTCAATCTTGTGAAGTAGAAAGACAGTAGGTCAACCTGTAATCACACCAGAATGTGATAAGCGCTTTCTTTTTTAATAAACAGAGAACACTATGGTTTGTCCATTCATAAATATTCATTGAGCAAGCATCATACGCAAGGTTCCTTCAACCACTGTGGGAAATACTAGTGGAGGCTTGACTAGAGTATTGAAAAGCAAGAAGGAAGAATGAGGCAGTGACATGAATTCCAACAAGCCAAGCTTAGACCCTCCCTGCATGTGGGAGATACAGATGAAGGACCAATCATGGCACCTGCCAAGTTCATTTACCTGGATTTCACCTTGGTGCCAGCTTTCCAGTTATTCCTAAGAATCCATCATTTATTCCACTTGGTTTCTGTCGATCTGGGGACATTCCAGAATTGTGGGGATTTGTTGCTTTCTTAGAAATCTGACTCATGTGTGGTGACAGACACGAGTCCTAATGAATCTGGATGTGGTTGTGGCAGTGAGGCAGGCTGGCTTTTCCAGCACCTGATCAACAGCACCTGCCAGGTGGAGGAGGGGCAACCCCACTCTTCTTCAGGTGTGCAAATTCTCTCCTTCCAGGGCTCAGCCACTTTATCAGCAGACGTGATGTTCACAGAACGTGGGTTTAGGACGACCCACACTCCCCAAATGTTCCAGAATTTCTTTCTATGACTTTGCTTTGAAATATTCCAAACCGTCAGGTCTCCTAGACCAGGAGACATCTGTTGATTTGAGCAGGTTTTTGAGCCACGTGCTGTTTGACACAGATAGAATGAAATCTGTCTTGTGGGCTTGAATTCTATTGTCACATTTAAAGTGAATACCAGAGCTGCTAGTCAATGAGAACCGATCAAATAGAGAAGGGACAAACAGGATTTGTTTGTAGTTGGAGTGCAATTTTATTTACTGTTTACGTTAGTGGCCATAAGAAAAAGCTTGAGCATCAAACCATGTGAATTGGCAGAACACACTGAAAGTTTGATGCCAGCTAATTCCAAACAGTTGAAAAAGATGAAGACAAATGGTTTACAAAATGTAGGCTAGAGAAGTAAAACCAATCCAGGTAACAATAGGACAATTTCCATTCACTTGCTCCAAACTCTACAGCCCCACCATCTCAAAATATGAGCCATCTTGAGATTTGGGGCAACTAAGTGTTTGAGAGAATAAAATAGGAGACCCCATCTTAGTGCTGGATCAATACCATCTAAAAAAGTTCCCCATTGCCATGTTGAGGCTGGGGTATTTTGAATAACATTACTGAGTAGTTTGGAGTCAACTGGTTTTACATCATTTTCTAGCAATCTGGATGAATCTTATGGTTAAAGGTGGGCCTCCTTATCTGTTTTAGTGAATGCTTGTTGTGCAGGTAGCTTTGATCCAGAATAGATGCGTCAAACAATTTATTGATGAACTGAGGAGAGAGAGAAGAGGCAGGCGAAGGTGCCAATAGTCAAATGACCTGCAAAATCACGGGCAGACTCCAGAAGAGCAAGAAACACTTATTGTTTCGTCTACTAATTCATTATTTCGACAAACGCAGAGTGAATACGTTAAACAAGTCCACTCAGATCCAAGACCATCTTGTGAGAAGACTTAGTCTTGACTGGTTGTCAGGTAGGAATTCGGCACAGTGGAGGTGGAGCGCAAGGTGGGGCGGAACTGATCCATCAGCACTGTAGAATATCTCTCTGAGATTATTGACTCAGATTCCCGCTAATACGTGTAAAACTTCTCATAAAAAAACCTCAGATCTCTGTTTATTTCACATTAGAAATGCTATATAGACTAATATTTGTTTTCTTCAGTTTTTTCTGGTTATGATAAGTATTATCCTTGTTTTGATTCTTACGTTTTTAAGTGATGATAACTTTAAAGGGCAGGTGACCAAGCATCCCAGTGCTTCACAGGAGAGTCGTGCTGCCTGCGCGTGGCTCCCAGCTCCTGTCTCACGTGCCCTCTAGTCTGCTCTCCTCAGTGCACCTTGTCATCACCTTTCTAACACGCAAATTTGATTGCATCATCGAGCACGTGGAAAAAACTCAAATAACTCTCTATTTCCTGCATAAAAGTCTCAAATCCCTAAATTAGTCCATAGGTTGGTCTGATCCTGCCAACTCTCAACCCTTACCTCCCACCCTCATGCCCACTCCAACCTCCACACACTCTAAACTCCTGTGTTTTGTTTTCTTTAGTTTCCTGAACCTATCGTGCTCTTTCATACATTCACACCTTTGCAAATTCTCTGCTTCACTTGAAATGTGTTGAGATAGTCTCTTTCCCTCGCAGACGACATGGGCATCTCCTTCAAGGCCAATCTCCAGCGTTGCCTCTCCCTGGGGGACTCTCAGCTCCCTTGACTGGCGGCCCCTCTTTTCATGACCTAGTGTCCTCTATGTATTTTTATCACAGCATTTGTCACACTTCACCCATTTGTTCAACAGCCATTTGGTGAGTGCCTGTGCCCTCCCAGGTCTTTGGTGTACCATGGTAAATAGTGATGGTGGTTCTAAAGTGGTCCTGCTCACCTCCCTAAGTCCCCAGTTGGATCCTTGTGGTGAGGATCTGTGCCTTTCTCCTCTGAGTCTCCTGCACAGCACAGGGTCCAGCACGGAGGAGGCTCCCAAAATAAATATGCACTGGATGGGTTTGTGACTGACTAAATCTCTCACCATTCCCGGGCCCAAACAAGCTATTCAGAGTCTGCTGGAACCCCTACCAAAGCGGTCTGTTAGGAATGGAGATCACATATGGCATTTTAGACAAATAGGATATTTGCCCACAGTGTATTTGCCTCTATGTCTTTTTCCCCCTTTTTCTTTATAGTATACACATAGGGTTTTCAGGAAGAAAAGAACTGTAATAGCGACATAGCTTTGGAAAATTGCCCTTGCTCCAGGAATGGGTGTGAACTCCTGCTGTAAGGGGCTTACCCACGTTTGGGCCAATTTCAGCATGATTTGGTAATGACTGCCAGTAACACTGAGTGTTTCTGTAATGTTGGGGGTGGGACTGTTGCAAGCCAAGGCTGACAACATTCTGCATGAGTTTTAATTGTACGGTTGCTCTCATCAACAGGGGTTTATGGCTCATCTTCTTTGAGTAGGTCATTGTGTCTAAAGATAGACTTTTATCCACGAATTATATAAATCCAAATATATCCAAAGCTTTTCCACAACATATGTATTTTTATATATCACATAAATGTATATATGTTAATATAGTGTGCATGAACTAATTCTTCTTTTAAAATGTATGTTACACGTAGTATATATCTGAGACGTTTAATAAATTTGTGTTGTCAGCTACATGGTGTTGTGCAAGTGCTTTATAAACAGTCCTCATGAATTTTATTAGGATCTCCATGTTATCATGCAGAATGATAGTAATGAGGAACTAGGAGATCAGAAAAAACATTAATGGTAGCTAGACAAACGCAAGCCGAACTTCTTTGTACTATCATTTCATTAACAGATTTTGGCACATGTGTGAGAATGGGTGTATGCTTAGATCCCTGTGCTGTCAGCACTCGTGCTGAACCCAGCTCTCTTGATCAAGGACTCTTGTTGTTCAGATCTTCAAAGAAAGTAACACACATCTTCCCTCTCTCTCTTTTTTAACAGTGTATATGGTTGCCCCTTGGCTAAAAAAAGAAAAACACAAGATAAACAGCCCCAAGAACCTGCACCCAAACGGAAACCATTTGCAGTGAAAGCAGACAGCTCTTCAGTAGACGAGTGCTATGAGAGCGACGGGACTGAAGAGGACATGGACGAGAAGGAGGAGGACGAGGAGGAGGAGTACTCTGAAGACGATGACGAGCAAAGGGATGACGATGACGAGGAGGAAGAGGTGGACCGCGAGGAAGAGGAGGAGATCGAGGAGGAAGATGATGACGACGACGAAGATGGAGAGGATGTGGACGAGGAGGAGGAGGAAGAGGAGGAGGAGGAGGAAGAGGAGGAAGAAGAAGAAAATGGTAATCTTTAAAATATTAGCAAAGCATCAAGTGGTGATTTGGGCCAGTGTTTCCGCGAGAATTACCTGGTGTTAATACTCATGACACATTAACAATTGCCATATGAATAAGTTTGCCTGGTCAATGCTGAAAAGAATAACCATTTATGTGTCTTTAACTTTCATTTTAAAAAATTCCTTTAAATTGTCTATTAGATTTTATTTCAGCCAAATCTTTATTCAGATTGGTCATCACAGAAACTTGCTGAAATATTTATTGTGTACATTTGGTTAGCTTAGTAATTTTTTTCCAGAAAGTTAAGTTATCATACCTAGTCTTTAATTTTTGCATTTTCTGGGATGCTCTACCTAAGAGATACTGTTATGAGCTGAAATAGTGCCGTCAGGATGACTTAGCTCATGCCTCCCAGGAGTTGGGAACTTTGTTATGACCATGGGGCATCAACTGGTGAAGTAGGTTTTGTCTGTCAATTTCCAAAGCTTCATTCTAGCAACTGTCATGTATTGGGATGAGATGGAAATGATCAGTCTGCCCGTCCTCGATTTCCATAGTCGAGAACGATGTTTCTGCTCTGAGATGTGCAGCATTGTGAGTGAGGTGTGCGAGTGAACAGCGTGCTGCACAGGGTGGTGGGCAGCCTATAGGCAATACATTCAAGATGATTTTTTATTTTACATCCAGTTTTCTTTTAGTGTCAGACTCAAAAATATGGCTTCAAAGCTAATCTTTTCATAAAAGTCATTTCTTCTCTAGAAAGAAGTGTGTGTTTTCTGAAGAGTCTAGTTATGGTCTTTATTGGATTGGGGTTTGCCTCAGAGAAATGCGAAAACATGTTTAAAACTGAAGGGAATTTTTTTTCTTACCCTTCTTCCTCAGATTCAAAGCTCTTTGAGAATGTAAACTCTGGGAGAGCTAATTTCTCAGTACAGAGGAGAGTTGTTGCAGCCAGGAGAGCTCTTTGAGATGAGGCAGGTGTGAGCCAGTTGTTAATCCCATGCAGCGGACATAAATTAACATTCCTCCTTCAGAAGTCATAATAGTTTGTTGCAGGAAACCTGAATTTTATGAAATAATTCTGGATTGTTACAGTGGTTTAAGGTCCTTATGAAAACAATTCGCCATCACGTTCACGTAGATATACAAACGTATCTATAGATACATGTATACACACATACACATGTGTACATTTCATGGATTAAAATTTAGCCTCCCCAGGTTCTTTTTCCTCCTTTGATATTCTAGACATGGTGTGGAGACGGTCTAATTAGGAACATCAGATACACACAAATATAAGGCACCACCAGTTCTACTAAGTGGACCGTGGGCATAATAAATGCCCCAGTACCATTAATGAGACGGCGGGGAGTCCATGCTGAGAATTCACAACAGTAGCCCAGGGTAATAAAATCTGTGCAAAGTTGGGGAGTAGAGCAATTTAGCAAATTATTTCTTGACACTATTAAATGTGTGTAGTTTGGGATGCAATCATTAATTGTTGAGGCTGATTAATGATTTGTAACTTAAACTTGCTATAAAGATAGCATAAAATATTGCTCTTTCGTATTCTCGTTCTATGTTTGGAAAGCCATGGAATTAATATTTGAAGTTATGGATGTTTGTGTGTTTGATGGATTAGGGCAGGAGAGATTTGTAAATATGCACCATTTAACTAAAGGTCTTACCCAAATTTTAGGTTCTGCTCTCCATTTGCTAGAATTAAACTTTCAGTTTTAGTTCACTTAGGGTCATATTTTAAATAATTTACTTTTAAAAGTAGAAGGGACGTATTTTGAAAAAGTAGTCAGAGCCTCATTGAAGTAGTCTAGAATGTGACTGCAGAGGATTTTTTATTCTGATGGGAACACTTATAACATAACTTTCTAAAAAGTGGAATAGCAAATCAAAGCATGACATTTTCTGGAAAAATTCAGGTAAGTGGCATATTGATAGTACCATGAAACAAACAAGTGCATAATTATAATGTAGACCCCAGAATCTCACATTACTATTACGTGACCCACCCAGCACAGCAACCAACACTTGGAGATTCAACAAAGGTCATCTGAATCTGAAGCACATGAGGAAGCAGCTTCCGGAAAACAAATACTCATTTAGAGGATAGATAATCAATTGTTAGTTTCCTGGGTTCAGAATTTATATTCAGCATCTGGACCCCAGCTAAGTACCTTCTGGAATCATCTGTTACATTAAAGAAATCAGCTGGAACTACAAAAGAAGGGTTCAGGCAGGACGAGATATTATGAGATCAGTAGACTTTCTGCTTCCATTGTAAGACACATATATCTGATTTACAGAATATCCTTGGCAGTAAAGTGTAATAATTTATTCCCTTTCAGATAGCCTCTGTCAACCTGCAAAAACAGGAACCAGTTTAAGAGGCAAACTGTTTATTTGAGATCAAAGAATTACAATTCAGGGAGCGCAGATTCAGGTAGAAACCCAAATAGTGTCCTGATTACAGGAGAGGGGCTCAGGATTTTTACGGGAAAAGGAAGGAAGATGAGGTGAGTTGTATTAAAGAAGAGTTCTTGGGTGCTAGGTGAGGTAAGGCTGGGTTTGTACTTCACAGATTGGCTGGAGATTCCGTCATCAGGCAAAAGACTAGACTTGTGCTTCACTGATTGGTTGAGATTTGGTCATCAGCAAAGTCCAGTTTCACCAGTCCTTATGGACAGGCTATTCTTGTCCTTACTGACTGCTTGGAAGATTGGCGTTTTGGTCCAGTTTGGAAGACAAAGGAAACAAGACGTGCAAGACAGCTCCTCTGAAACGGCTGCTCCAGCTCTGTTTTAACATGGCTCCACTCATGTCATACCTCTCTGTGAATCTTAACTCCCAAGGAGTAATTTAGATCAAACAATAGTGGCCCATGTGGAGGACCCTCCACTGTGGTTCTGATTGCCACAAGTTCTCTGCAGGGAAGCACCAAAGCTTGCTTGATTTTTAAGTCAAACGAAAGTACCTCTCCTAGAAAGAAATCACTTCGGAGGCCTGATTCCTGAAGACCGTTTCACCAGGCTTCTCTGTTAGAAGAGAAGTCTCCACCGGAGGAGTCCGATGAACAGGTGTTCCAAGACCCCACTTAGCCAATATCTCATGACAATATTCTAGGTGTACTGTACTCCAGGTATTTCATAACCCTGCAGGGTCAGGAGTCTTCAAGAAGATTCCAGATCCAAGGAAGTGCATAGCTTTGTTGATTGAGCGCTCATTTTACAGGATCAAACTCCTAGCTATGTTTAATTTAGTGAGACAGCTTTGAAAGGCACGTATCTGTCAATCTCCTGCTTTCCTGTCCTCACCTACCGAAGACATTCTCTTTTACCTTACTGCTACATTTAGTGCCAAAATCGCTATCGATAAATGCGAGTTTCTGCCACCATAGCAACACCTTTAACATGAGAAACGCAGTGTGGGAACTACAGGACATTCCATGTAGCACGTGGCAGAGACGTGCGTTTATCCCCTCCTTGAATGGATCTGGCAGAAACTGGACATTTCTGAAAAACCGGGAGGTCTACCTTTCTGTGTCCAGTGATCAGAGTTCTGGGTCACTGTCTTGAAGCTGGCCTTTCGTGTTCCTTGGTCTACACTCATAGAGACTGTTCATCCCTGGGTCATCAGTAGATTCTCTCCAAGATGGATTGTGCCTTTTTCTTAGCAAATAGAAGCACAGAAAGAGACCTAACAGAGAAGCAAGACAGTCGTAACACAGTGAGAGGAGAACATCCCAAACAGTGCTGAGAGCCTGGCACACACGTGCACATCCGCAAGTAGCAGACGATCATCTAACGGGAAGAAACCAGGGCCTCAAGACGGAGCCACAGGGACAAAACTTAAGCTGCCATCGGCTTTAGGAGTAGAAATAAAGTCTCTGACTATTTCTGCTAATAGGATGCCGTTATTCGTTTTTCCCATGTACCATTTTCCACTTCTGTTATAAATTGAAATGGGGAGTTTATTGAGAGATTTTGTTTTAGATAAAACAAACGTATACAAACCACCAGATTAGAATGATAGGAGCCCACTTACGGAAGGAGCGTTATTTATAGCTTGGGAATTAGGTGTTAACTTTAATTCCAAGGATCCTCCAGCATTGTAGTACATATGAACCGGAAGGTTACTGCTGATGTGCATTTACAATGGTTATGTTAATGTACAGTATTGTGTTTGTTTTTCACAGTGATTGTGTAAGATAGATAGAGTAGAAACAACTTCATTCTCATTGAATTCCTTAGAAACTGAGGCTCAGAAAGAGAAGATTATTCTCAATAAGTGGTGGATATATGGTCAGACTCTGTGGATGGTATTTTTCCTTCTACAGAACTCACATTCCTTTTATTACTTTCTGCTTATTTGAACAACAGGGAAGAATACCTGAGTAATTCATTTCAGATTACATTAAGTTCATATTTAATTAATCAAAATGATATTTATTGTCCAGTTAAACTATCAGAGGCTGGTCTTTTGCATGAAGAATTTTATTTTAACATTGTAATGGTCTAAGTCTGCATTTAATAAATAAAAATTCCCTTGTTATCCTAAAGTTAAGAAAAAAGTTATTCAGGGGTTGTAGATTTTTCTATTAGCAGATTTGTACGTATTATGATAAATATCTTTTTGGATTCTTGTGACTTGAGAAATATAGATTAAATTGTTATGTAATGCCTAGGAAGTTATGGTATATTTTCATACTTCAGTCCACTAAAAAGAATAAATCTTTAAATAATGTGTATGTGTATATATGTACACATATATGAGTATACAATAAATAAATATATATATATATATATATCTCCTTATGAGTACATATTGTATCTGCCCACTGACAGGAAAGAAAATTCCATGAAGAAGAACATAGCAATGTACTTTCCAGCTTAGAGGAAACTTTCATATTCACTACCACTTTTAACATATAACTGTTTCTTAATATTCTGTTTCTGAAATACTTTTTATGGAATCTTGGGACTGTCTTGGAC